GCAACCTGCATAGTCCCACTACTACTCCTGAGCGGGAACGCCGTCTTGGAAAACGCCGCCGCAGCACCCCTCGCAACATCAAACAACCCCATTGGCGATTCTTCCACTGCACCACGCCCCACTTCGCGGCGCTGCGGCTGGACGGTGATGGTGTCGAGGTCGAAAGCGCCAGGGAGCTTGCGGTCGGCGGCGTCGTTGAAGCGTTCTTCAGCTTCGGTTTCTTGGGCGAGGAGGTGCATCATTTCGGCTTCGCATTGTTGCCATACGCCTAGGACTTCTTCGAGGTGGTTGGGTGGGGCGAGGAGGAGGGCTTGGCTGAGGAGTTCCATGCGTTGCTCGAGGCGGCGGAGGTCGGGGCGTGCGGTGGAGCTGGATTGGGTCCAGGAGGTGGATGAGGAGAGGGAGGTGTTGTGTCGGCCGGCGCGGAGGGCGGCTCGCCAGGCTACGTCTTCGGCGTCGTCTGAGTGGTCTTCGGTATCTGCGGTTCCGAAGGAGAAGAAACTTGAAGAGGTTGGTGGCGTTGGCGACGGTGTTGAGGGGGTTAGTCGGTTGACTACGTATGAGTACGCTGTTTCAAAGTCGTCTTCTTCAAGTGCAGCCTCGACAGCCATGCCAATCACTCGTTGCTCCGCCGCGGCTTTCTTCCGCTCTATCGTGGCGGCATCCATTGACACGTTTCCTGCTTCCTCTTCCATGATGGTTGAGGGCATGGCGACTACCAAGTTCTGGCCGATCGAAACCAGATCGTCGAGCTTGGTGTAGCTACCGCTGTTTTGCGATAGTAATTTGCGCACTAACGACAGCGGATTGTGGCTCACTCGGATATTGACCGGCTGGAAAGGAACGCCATGCTGGAGGATGAGCGAGTAAAATGACATGGCGTGTGTTGCTGTGAGCAGGGCTTGGAACCGACGGAACCGCGACGAGGAAGGGAAGTGGGGAGCGAATGCAGCGATGATATCAGCAGCACGCTTCATACCGCCTCTGTTGCGGTTACCGTTGCTGGCGTTGTCGTAGTGGTGCATGGCTGAGGCGAGCACGACCTGCTCCACATCCGAGGAGAGCAACGGCTGCTCGCCAAATCCTGGTTTGATGTAAAGATCTATTGCGAGAGGGAAGTGGTTGCTTTCCAGAAGAGCCTTCAATACCTCCGTTTCCAGCGTCTTGCGCTCTAGCAAACCAAAAACACCTTGGGCTTTTCGGTCTTCGTCGTGGTAGTCGGTTCCCCAGTTCCAGAGCCACAGCAACTTCGACCGAATGGTCGCCCATTGTTCACTGTCTTTCTTGGAGCCGCTATTCAGTGTGTGCAGTGTCTTTTGCAGTAATGATAGCTGTTCGGAGTAGTCGTCCCGCAGAGACATCTTCGCAATTTCCCGGATAGATACTGGTTGTTGTAAGGTCGATAGGACACACGACGAGAAAATGATAAGCTCAATGATGCGAAACGCTTCAGCGCCAGGCTGTGTGATGACATTGTCAGAATCCAGTAGACGATCCTCTCTCAGTAAAGCAGTTGTTGAGTCCTGGAGCAGAGGATCCTTCAAGTCGTAGCTGGGTAACTGAGCGACACCGGTACTGAGGTCTGGAGGCGGGTCATAATTGAGAAGCGTGCATATCCTCGTCAAGAGCGAATGCGCGGTCTGTAACGACGTGACATCGCTCTTGTCGACCAGGTAGAGACATGCGAGCGCCGTCCTTGCGTACTTCATCTCCAGCTGCCGCTGTTGTTGGTCATCGACGTAGTCTCGTCCTTCTTCGTAGCCACCAAGGTCCATATCCTCAGGGCCATCCCAGTCGGAGATGGCTGCCGTGACAAGCGCCAGATGCTCTTTGGATGCATGTAACAGCCACTGGAACAAGCAGTCCCAGTCGTCTGGTTCCCGTGCTTGATCCTGGGCGATCGACGCTCTCCGACCTTCGTGTGTGATCTTCCGCCTCTTGCGATCATTCGCTCCACACAGCCATGGGGCGACTACCCCCTTCAGATCCCGTGCCGCGTTGTGTGTATTGGTCTCGGTCGCGCTTCGAGCATGGGAGAGTTGGTAATCAATGGCACGTCGCCCTTTGAGTGCCGCAAATTCGTCGAGCGTGGTTGCAGTAGATTGTGGGTAGTACTCGTAGCTGAGGCGTAATAGCGGGAGGACGGTCGATATAAACCACGTGCGTAGGTATTCGGAGTGGCCTAGAAAGGGAACCACCAGCTGCGGCACGAGATCCAGGAGGCCTGTCTGCGCGTCGATGCGATGGGCGCGGTGTATTAGGAAGTGGCTGAAGAGGTCCAGCTCACTCTCTTCCGCATAAAGAGGATGTATTACAGGCGGCAGATCCAGCGCATGTCTTCTCTTCTTCGCCCGTGAATTCGAGAGTTGTTCCACCGATGTTATGTCTAGCGATGCCCCAGGGTTCTCGCCGGGAGACCGCGATCCAGTCGCCAGATCATGGAGATATTCGTAGTACGACACCGGGTCGCTCTCTTCGGGGAGGTAGTTGAGGAGAATGCTCAGGGTCAGCTCAAGCGGCAGATCCCCGTCCCGGAGTGCTGTCAGCGCCCGCAGCGCTAGGATGTTGGATTCGGTGGCATATTGTACGGCGAGCAGGACGCAATGCGGCTGCGACAGTTGCGACAGCTTCTGCAGGGCGGCCATGTCGAGAGTTTGCGGGCTGCTATCGGGATTCGACTCTCATCGTTGACGTGAAGCTTGGAAAGGACACGCCCGCAATGCGACAATTCGCTACGTCAACCGCCAAGCCCCGCTCTCGGGGGTCCGCTCACAGGCAGCCCTTCACCATCACACCTGCATCACGACACCAGACAAAGATCTAGGTTGTGCTTCATCAACTCCGCTCAGTAGAGCTCATTATACGAATAGCAGAGGTCATCGATGTCCATCACGTCGCCAATCTTCGCATCCCAGCCGTTATACCCCAGCGAAAGCGGAAAGTCCAGCGTCACATTGCTGCCCTGCGCATTGTCCCAATCTTGTAGCACCATCGGCCCAGATATGTCGCGCAGTCTTCTTCCCAGGTTTCTCGCCTGCCACGACCACCAAACGCGGTCTATATTCGCATGATGGAGCCAGAAGATGGGGTCGGCAGGCGATGTGAACGGATCGCCCATCTGGCCATAGGTGCCACCAACACCAAAGCTGAGAAGACGACGTTAGCATTGCCGCGAGGACCCTGCAAGATAGAACACGTACTGCCCACCAGCATGAATCTGGCTATCGTCCCAGGCTGGACCACCTTCCATCGTTCGCGCGAACCATCCGTAGTTCGCCTGCGCCATGACTGTGTCTAACTTGTCTTTGCTCAGATATGTGGCAGCGTAGTCGGGCGCCAGGTCTCGCCGTAGACACTGGTCGTTTCTTGCAAGCGACGAAGCAGGGCCTAGATGAACCGTCATGTTGACGAAAGGCCCATCCTGTATACAGCCGCCTCCAGTCCGCCCTGGCACTTCGTTGTTCGACCTGTTGACTGGGACAAGAGGGCCGTTACCACCAAAGCCGTACGTCGCGTCGAATATGGGCGATTGAACAAAGTTGGCAGTTGGAGTATCCAACGTCCAGTCCCAATACGGCTGCGCCCCACTGTATTCACACTCCTCACGCAATATCTTCTCGTAATATGAGGTGAAGAGACGATGCCATGGGAGGAAGTGACCCTTCATGGCGGTCAGTATCGTTTTCAATTAAAACATGCCACACCTACCACGAAATGTATGGACATCGTCTGGTTGATGTGCGTCGCAACAAGATCATCATATCGCGAAAGCGCACCTGGTGCAGCAGCAGTGGGAGTGACGGCTGGCTTCTCCAAAAGACATTGTACCGCAGCAATGTACTGCAGTTTTTCTGCATTGTCAAGAGATCGCCTAACAAATCGGTAAGCTCCAACATGTCTTACTCACATTCTTCGAGGGCAGCCTACCATTCTTTCCGCACTATGGGATTGCGACAGCTCGCGAGTTTTGCAGCAACCTCGAAGCAAATTGCTTGCACGAACAACACCATTGCGGGAAGGAGTCGCATGTTGACGGCGGCGATAGGGAAGACCTACACGGAAAACCCGCTGTCAGACGAGACTGCCCTCGTATATACATATTTCGAGACTCATTCAGCTGAACTTCAGATACGAGCTTGTACGACGATTTCATTAACTTAACCCAATGATGTTCCATCGACTGAGGCTTGAGTATGCATGTCAAGCCATCTGCCACCCAATTACCCGGACATAGAATGGCTCTCGACTGCATATAAAATGATGCCTGAGTAGTTTCGACTCAACCAGCGAGATCTCGTGGCGGATGGATATCTGCTCGCAGTATCCTCCAAGCTCCTGAAAATCTTACAGTCCTCGGCTATAAGAATGTTCGCCACGTTGACTCCAGTCAAATCTAGGCATATCTGCGTGCTGCCGTGTGCCTGTACCGAGGTGCCAAGTGCCTAGTCGACAGCGTTGCAAGCCCCTAGCCTAGCGTCCCCATCGTCCGACAACGCCTCCAACGACACCAGCCACGACCTTTCATCACCAAGCTTAAGAGCCACAATCTCCGCGCTTTTTTCCTCAGAGAAAGTTTGTCTGAGATGCGACTGTTGATCACGCGTTGATGGCATCTAAACATACGTTCGGTCGAAACATCAAAAGGATGGGTTGCTAGAGATTCTGGAAGCAACGGCAGTTCGCTTGCACACACCCTTCGCCAAGCCAACATCAAACATGCAGCGTTTCCAGCACCGAAACAAATCTGTAGCAGCACAATATGTCGGCCCAGTCCTTGGAGTTGCAGATCAAGCTTTGAATGCCTGAGCTTGGGATAATTACTTAGATCGATGGCTGCCTGGCCTCTTTCTTGACCTCCACATCCTCTTACTCTCCTTGTTGCTTGTACATTCTTGATACCCTGGTTCGGTCCATTCTTTGCGCGTGCGCACGTTACAATCTTTATTACATACTCATTCTTTTGCTATATTCACCCGAAATCTCCATCTCAACCAGAAATCATGTATATCGATACTGCGTCAGCGAACAGTCGGTCCTCGAGGCCTCAGATCACCATCGAGCCATCGCCGTATAATGACCGCTCGACACCGCTTATGGAGGCTTTTGTGGGACAAGAGGCTGGGACGAATGAGAGGCCGCCGCCTACTTACCTCGAAGCCACTACGCCTGGTCTTTATACGAGTCGACTGAGTGGCGAAGAAGGCGCCAGGCTGCTCTCCTTTGATGGACGAGGAGCCCGGGATGCGAGTTACAAGGAAGAGCAGTACGGGAGACGGAGTCTCAGGTCGCAATGCCTCAAGAAGACCTGGTTGAAGGTGGTCGGCACAGTGCTTGCTATGATGCTCGTGTCTGCCATGTTGGCCCTTATGGTTGCTGCGGTGTCAGTCCGAAGGGATAGACAGGTTAGTAGATACTACTTTCAAGGAAGTACTTCATCATACTAACGTACCCGTCAAGAACTCTGCTACTGCCTCCCTATCTTCAGCACAATCCGCACAGGGTGACGCCGCCCACCCCGAAGGCTTCATCGACGACGATTCCGACAAGCCCAGTCTCATCGCCGTTCCATGGCCCTCACCATCCGCCGCAGCGCAACCCACCGCACCAAAACAATCCTTCCCCATCCGCTGGCCATCCAAGTGCGGAAAAGACTACAACGTCCGAACCGAACACCACGACTTCGGCCAAACAAGCGAGCTCAGCATCCAAGAAGCCGTCCACCAACTCGACGGCCCATACAGACGAGTAGCAGGCTGGATACACGTCGCAACCGCCCCTCCGGAGCAAGCCCCCGGCACAATCCAAGTAAAGACATCCTACGCCGTATCCGCCTCCGTGGACGTAAACGCCGTCCGATACGCCTCCACGGACAACAGCCTCACAATCGGCGACCCCTCCTTCCCCGACGGCTTCGACGGCGTGCGCCCCGGAAAGGCCTGCCTGGGCATGTCCGTAGTAATCTACATGGCCCCTGGCGCCACCTTGTCTAAACTGCACATCGCAACCACGCACATGGGCATGCAGATCCACTCTGGCACGAACTTCACCGTCACAGACTCTACTTCCATCTCCCTGACTACTGGCACCCTCGACGCCATCGCCTTTTCCTCGCGCCAAACATACCTCTCCACAATCTCTGGCTCCATCTCCGGCGCCTACGCCCTCTCCGACCTCCTTTCCGTTAAGACAAAGAGCGGCTCCGTGAACATCGACATCGATCCCCAGCCCGCCGCAAAAGGCTCCACAAACCCCGCTGTCTTCAGCGTGGATTCGCTCTCGGGTAGTATCCGCACGGATTTCAAACGCAAACACATCCCCGAGCGCGACTACCAGACTTACATCAACACGACTGTCGGTTCTGTAGACGGCACTTTCATCCACGGGTCGCGCACGGAGATAAACAGTGTGGCTGGACTCGTTACGGCTGATATCCTTCCGTTTAAATCAGGGGATTACCAGAGCGAGATCTACACGCATACCCACTCCGGACAAACTTCTCTCACGCTTCGTTCGCCGTATAAGGCCAAGGGTGTGGCTATGTCTGGGCTGGTGAGTACGCATAAGAGCACGAGTGGCGGGTTGGATGTCACCTACCCTGAGGAATGGACGGGGAATGTAGATGGCACGTCATTGAGTGGTGCGCTGCATTTGCAGGGCAAGGAGCTGGAGTTGTTGGGCGAGAACGATGAGCCGGGGAAGAATCATGTAGAGGCGAAGAAGGGAGATGGCAAGAGTAGTTTGAGCTTCGATACTGTGTCTGGGGGGTGTGAGATCAAAGTTGGGAAGTTGTAGATCGCACGATATAGCTTTGGCTTTGGTGTTGAGGGTTAGACGGTACTCCTCGTAGATGAGATACATCACGATACATTCTACTTGCTGCCCAACTTCCCTCTCTCTCTCGTCAACTCAAACACGCCGTCTCTTCAGTCGCGCACGCGTTCAAACCTACACTAACTGGCTATTTGACCATGCGACAGCTTAACGTTTTCCTCCATAGTAGCAGGTAGTGTCGTGATGAGTTGTCGTCCGCGCGTCCCGCTCCCGCAAGCACCTCCCTGCCAGCCCTGTCAAAACCACTGTCTCGGCGCACATGGATGACCCCCGTTCTTTCACTTATGTTGTACACGTCGATCCTAGCTACGGGGTCTTTAGGGCAGTAGGGCTGAAAGATGTGCGGTTGGGTTCGGGGGAGTTGCGACGCAGCTACGCTACACTGCGACCGGGTGTGTTGGGTTAATTGAGGGTGTCATGTGTCGTTCGGGGTGTGGGTGAAGGCTACGTCATGGCGTAAGGCTGAGTTCTGTGAGGGATGGTTGCAAGGTCTGGGGGTGTTCGCGAGGTGGTGGTAAGGTGCAGGGACTGGGTTGGTGGTGAGTTGGTGTCTTGGTTGTGTTGCGATACGCTGTGGAACGCGCTGTGATAACAGATCTAGATATGAAATGTGGCCATGTCGAACAACATTGTCTATGACGTGTCCGAGGGGTCGCTGCAGAATCGTTTCGTACGAACCTAGCTTTTGCATGCAGAATCTGCGGTGCACGGGTGGTGTGGTCTCATATGGCACATAAGATATGTGGTCGTGATATGATGCTGATGATCCCCAGATGGTAAAGCAGGGTCTCCTCTTTGGGACGATCGACGCCGCATAGGTACACTGCCTGGGCGACAGGATTCCCGTTTGCGACAATCCCAAGTATGTCTGTTGTTGGCCGAGAAGTACCGGACAGATCTTGACCTGAAAGACACGAAGCTGTGGAGATGCCATTGGCACCAGGGGGTAAGGCAATATTTACTACTAATCGCATAATGGCAGCGGCGATCTGTAGCGATTTTGAGTTCACGAGAATTGAAATCATTCATAGTCGGCGTTTTATGCTCTTTTCGAGCCACGATGCTTACTGCTTGGGGTTGTTCCTTGTGGCGCATCATCTTGAACGATCCCGCACGGCACCCGAGGCAGGGCTGTAGTAGTTCGTGCTTCGGAATTCGAGCTCTCGGAAGATTGCAGGTAGCCTGGGTTCTCAAGTTCCGGTGGTAATTGTGCCCTGTTGACAAATGTGCGTTTGGGTTGGTGGTGGTACAAGACTGAGGCATGCATCGTAACGAAGCCACGAACCAGGGCAAGATTGCGAACCACTCCGCGGCCTCGTGATCTGAAGTTATTCCTCCATGCGTACAAGGCCAAGTCCTAGAAATATTGAATTCAATCAACGACGTCTTGTAACGTTCAGACTAGCAGGTAATTTGGCGATCGGCCGCTGTCACTTGTCAACATGACTCAATGACGTGCAGAAGCTTGATAACCGTTGCACCGTGCTAACTACACACGACGGACGACAGACGAGAGGATGTTCCGTTGGCGCAAAGATGGCGCCATTCCGGGCAGAACGGAATGAAGTGGCTTCGCTTCGGTCATGGGCAGTTGACGATGCCACTGCTCGGCGATAACGCGGTGCGTCCGCGCAGTGAATAGCTGAATACGTCGACATCACATGGAAATGCGGCCACAACTCCGCTGCGCGACACAACCGAGCGCTCGTGTCGGCGAATCAATATAGAAAAAACCGAGAAAAGAGTCGATGGTGCGGTACACGTTGCGAGCAGGGTGGGTCTCAGGTTCCCCTGGACGTGTGTCAAGAGTGTTTCGGACCTGTCGCGACGCGGTAAAGAGACGTGGGGCCAGAGGAAGCGACTGCTGACTCAGCCCATCCCTCACCAAACTACGCGCCACATGCGATGATACACTGCCCACCCCCCAATCAGCTGCTCCGTGCCATCAGACTCGCACTCGATTGAGACAAAACTTTTCCAGCTATGATGAAACTGGATCCCTAAACCTGGTAGTGGAGTTGATACAGCGGGAAGTTGCGTATCTCGCGGCCGACCTCTCCCAGCTCTCCATCCTTCCATAAACGACATGCACCAGCCTGTTCGAGCGCTGAAACTCGACGCCGAGCTGCAACGAGTGATGGGATGCCCTTCGAGCTGAACTTTTCGACCAAGTGCTCCCTGTCAGAGGGTCGTCATGATGGCCGAGGGCAGCGCGGCATCCATGTCGACACCTCCGCCTCAGCAACATGGGGCACTTGGTGCGCAGGCCCGAGGAGCCTCTCCGAGCCAGCCGAGAGGATCATGGAGACAACGACTGGTGCGACCGTTCAGAGTGCGTCTAATCGCCTTTTGGCATCCCAGCAGCCTTGCGCCCGGTCCACCACCCACTACACCATCCCCGCCAGACGCTCTTTTGGGTGAACGCTTCTGCTGTGGCCGTTCCAGATCACCTGCAGCCAAGGCGCGTCCCGACACTTCTCTCAAACTTGCGCCCAAGCGGTTCCGTTGCGTCAATCACAGAGATCATTGCTCTTCGTTGTTCCTCTCGGATGTTGCAACCCCCGTGCATTCATCATATAGCCTAGCAACCCCTCCAACCGCCTTTCCTACTATTTGGCCCGTCACTCTTTAGGATCCTGCCCAACTACTATCTTCGTATACATTTCTTTCATTTGGAGCGGGCTCCATCCGCGCTGGCTGCGATTGAGGACTTTGTTCTCGTACACTCATTTGAGAAACTTACATCCATCCCGGCGCCACATCTGCTCAGCCATAGTCGCACAGCGCTATCGCCCTGCCACATTCCTTTCTGCAGCCGTCTACTTTCGTTATCAATGTGAGTTTCCTAATTGAGCATTGCTCGATGTCACTCAGGGCTTCGACGGGTGATCCCTTGTCTAGCAGTATAGCCTAATCAGTCGCTAACCACGTTGCACTACAGACTACTTCCATAACATCTTACGGTCGTTGTATATAGAGAACGGAACCCAAGATGGAGTTCAATGCGGTTCAACAGTGAGTATTCTCAATGGTCTTTCCTTCGTGCGCGCATACTGACGGCCTTTCTAGGTACCGTCCGTCACCTAATCGGCAGTACGCCATGGGGCATCCCTCCCCCTCCCCAGGGATGCAGTCAATGTACTCTTACGCAAGCCTTCCACCTCATGAACAGCAACAGCATCAACAGCAACATCAACAGCAACAACATCAGCAACAGCAACAACAACACCAGCAACAAGGCCTACACCCTATGTCCAGACCTTCGCCACCCCAGCCCACGTGGGCTGTGCCGCAAACCCAGCAGTACTATGCTACGCCGCGGGGTCCTGCTGTAGGCAGCAGAGAGGATCAACGCCAGTTTATGGGAAGACCGGACATGATGACTTCGCAACCGACTGTGACTAGTGGTGTTGTCTACAGCACCACCATGACTGCCCCGCAATCGCTTGCGACGACTGACTACTTTCCCGGCGTCATCGACACAAGTAAGCTTCTTCAGTAGTAGGCATGCATGGTATGCTAACGAACAAAGGTCCATGGGGTCAGAAGGTGTGCGAAGAGCTAGAATCATTCCCCTCCCTGGAGTCGGATGTGTCGGACTTCAGTCATGGCATGATGGGACACGATGAGAACACTCCGATCATTGACCTACGCCAATACAACAACATGGGCCAACAGGAACACGACAACATGGCCAACTTCAATCCGAACTCCACCCGGAGACTGTCCGAGTCGTCTTTTTCGATGTCTAGCACTGGCGGTGTGCTTCCAGAGCCGGCGTCCTACGAAGAGATGGGATCATCGGAACCAGTTTCATATCCGTCTGAGTATGAGACTTGGAACCACCCGGAGCCGAGTGCCAGCCATCTTCTGTCACCGCTTGCCTCACCACGACGACCTCAGTACGATGGCGTTGTGCGAACTGGAAGTCGCTCCCGCGTGTCGCCGACACCACACAACAATGTCCGCTCATCACCATACACACTCGAAAGCACTCGGTTTAAGAGGTGGTCTACCGGGCAAGCGCCAACATCGACCCCAAACAACTCGCGCCCAATGTCACAGGTCTCGGATCGTTTTGCGCCATACGGTCCCCGCCTGAACCCGCATCACTCGCTGCCCGCTTACCCGCCAAGTGCCTACAACAACTTCGGGCTACCGACGCAGAACGTCTTGTACTCGCAATCGAATTCTCCATATGCCAACAACCAGCCATTCTTCGCGCACCAAGAGCAGCAGCAGCATCACCTCGAGGTGCCTCGACCGCTACCTTCGCAGGGCCTGTTCCGCTTACTCCAAAGTAACGCGGATCGTCACGGAGGCTGCTCATCACACTTTGCAGACCTGTCAGACCCACCTGACCTTTACTCCTCCCTGCACGAAGAGGCACTCAACCCACCGGAGTCCGACATGAACCCGTCCGATCCCGACCTTGTGCCACACGAGCAGGATCTTCGCTTTGTTGGCGACCTGTACACCCCGCGTTGGGTTCGCGGTCATGGAAACAAACGAGAGGGCTGGTGCGGTCTATGCAAGCCTGGCAGATGGCTTGTACTCAAGAACAGCGCTTTCTGGTACGACAAGTCCTTCACGCATGGTGTCAGCGCAGCTACCGGCGCAGCGTTCCAGGGCCCGCAAGACACGCGCCGGACGGAAGGCAATCTCGATGTATGGGAAGGACTTTGCGGAAGTTGCGGTGAATGGATTGCACTCGTCAGCAACAAAAAGAAGGGAACGACGTGGTTCCGACATGCATACAAGGTAAGTCATACGTCCTTCACATTCCACGGTGCTTGGCTATTGGCTCTCGGTAGTTCTGATTCGCCTCGCTACCACCTATTATAAGATCGAGTATGCTAACAATGTTGCAGTGTCACACACATCCCAAAGTCAAAGATGGCCCCAAGCGCCGCCGTGAGACACAGGCTGGGCGCGTTCGTGCAGCGTCGTCCGCGTCAGCG